TCAGTTAGACAGACTTCACTTTAATTAAATATTCTCCTGTTTTTTGCCGACATAACTTCCCACTTCAGCAACTATAGCTCCGTTTATTTCGAAACTTTTTAAACTCGACCACTATCTGCGCAGTATCGAATAAACATTGCGATTAGCAAAAAGGATCTGCTACTTGATCAGAACAAAACACAGCAAACAACCACCACATTGCGTACGCGTTTGCATTAAAAGTAAGATTTCAAATAAAATGATTACTCGGACGACATTTCGATATGGCGAGTAAAACAAAGTACAAGAGTTATATATGCATGCTTAACTCTGGGTTTTGATTGACTAACCCATGGACAAGTTATGTAGACAACAATCACAACAGATTTAATATTTACCCCCAGTGTATTTTTCCTTAAATTTCAATAAACTACATCAATTAAACCAGGTTTCCCGAAGAAGTATTTGCAGTTATAAAGTTCCTGATATCCGTTCTGGTATACCTTATGCGTTTTTAATCTTTCAATAGAGAGGTGCGCGAGCTTCTGACTTATAAATGCTCTTATTAGGGTGGAGTTTCAGAAAAAGGCATGGATATTCAAGTCGTCTAGAATCCACAGGTTTCCTGTGCTGATTACGGGAGATCAAATTTTGGGAAGAATTTTAAAGCTTTCATCGCTTTGCTAGAGATACCAAAAAGGCAGAGTACCTAGTTAAGCATTTTGCCTAGCCCTTTATCACGGTATGCGGCCGAAGGTTGGGTCGAAATAAAAATCAGCGTCCTAGAGGGAGTGCATTATCCTTGAATGATTTCGCATGCCCATGATACGTCCTCAACTGAGTATTATTTTCATTCAGTTGTTAAGTTAAACTTGAAGTTACTGGATCGCGGATTTCTGTGCCCGTTTTGGGTAACATTTTTATGGACTTATATTGTCATAATAAACACCTGCGGAAAGAATTTAAAAGGAGCCTTAATTGGGTCTGGGAATAACGTCAAAAATAGCTAAATAATCATCCAGTACTCTCCACCATTGCTTCAAACGGAGAAATACGTAAAATCTTAAGTTTAGAACTTTATTTACAAAGTAGTATATCATTCATTTATTGTTTTTTCTCATTTCTTTGTCCGTGGTTCTAAATCGGCCGTATGAGAATGTACGATAGAAATCGGCGTACGGAAGAAACCTGTTGTAATTTCTACGATTTGACAAGTAAACAAGCATGCCTTGCATGCTGACGGACGTATTTATGAATGGACAGGCGCCTCTGAGAGTTGTGCGAAGCAAAATAGGTCGAAATCCGAATATATATTATATGTTATATTTTAGAAACATGATCTCGTTAGTTCACTAACTTGCGTGAATCCATGGATATCAATACGGATACGAGTATCGACTATAATCAGGGAAATATAAAATCTCGAGGGAGACCTAAGATAGCATTATCTACGAGGTGCCGCTAGGAAGTATCTAATTTCCGCGTTCATTTAAACTTCTTAATTTTTTTTTCATTCTGTCCCAAAACCCGGTTGGTAAAGTAGATCAATCTGCTTTGATGTTCAGTTCATAGCAGGTAGACAGCTTGTTCGGACCTCGTCCAGTGTTCTTAAACTGTATATCTAACCAAGATGCCTAACTCTTTGCTAGGTTTGCGTCACATACGTACATACTTTACATCGCCTCATAACTACCTACAGGTGTATGATTCGAAGTTCCACAATGGTAGTCAATCTTAGCTGAAGTATTTTAAGGAACCAGAAAGGACAAGACTGAGAGGGTGTACGCCTGTCTATTTTGCATGCACATAACACAACGTTTTTTTGCTGAATAAATCATTCGTCGGACTTTTTGTGCCCTTCTCCCCAGTGTTTGTCACAGACGTGTCATTCGGGAGGCAGTTCTGACTGTCAAGCGCAACAGTGTGCCAACAGTACAATGTCAGAGCCAAAAATGTTTCCGCCTTTGGTAGAGAACTGATGTCGATGTAAAAGCCACGTCATGTATCCTTACTTTGCGAGCAGACTGCATACCAGTTCTTGGGGAACGAATTGCTGGCTTTTACGTAAGCAGATTGTATGGCAAGAAAAAGGCCACCCAAAGATTTGCATCTTAAATGAAATTTGCAAGCACAAATACTTGGCACAAGAAGTATTCCCAATTAAACTTTTTGTTAAGATACATTAGCCAGGCAACGCCTCTAATTAACTATATCCGCACAGCCTGTTTTTTTCAAAAGTTGGGTTGAGTAATTCAACTGGTAGGCCTATTGAATAATTGCGGAGAGCGTTTTCTGCTTTTTCTTTTTTTTTAACCACTTTATTCACCAAATACGCTCCAGCGTTCCTGGATGATGGTTTCACCAGGGCAGTAAGATTGAAGAAATCATATGACAAGACTAAATGTTTCACCCTAGCTCTCCAGGTGAGCCTGTCAGAACCAAAGAGGCGGTCTCTAATGCCTACACCCTTCAGTATCAGTATCAATATATTGAGGGATATGTAGGAAAAATTCCTTTGAGTTCCCTATTTGTATATATGTGTAGTGGTAGCAGAAAATTTGGTTCTCAGTGAATTTTCAGTGGTCCAAGTCAGGTTTTAGGACGGATGAAGTAAGGCTGTTGCCCCGGGCTACGATAGCAGGTTACTGATAGAAGTGAAGAGGCGAGTTCGCAGTCACAATTGTCTCTGATTATGGATTTCAGTGAGAATCTGACATTTCAGGCTACTCAGTCCTTGCTCTGACGATGACAGACTTAGAACTACCCTGCAGTTGCAAATATCCCACAGATTCGATTTTTCCTAGGGGAATTAAGCTAAACTCGAGAGTGAGCCATCCATCATACAGGGCCAGCATGTTTCTTGCTAGTGTGAATTGCAGGTTTCAATCGACCTCAAGTTGCACAAAATATTGAATTATTCACATTGCCTTAGCCAACAAGCATAAATGCCTAAACATGGAATATATAGTTTTTCTTCTATTGAATAAATTAAAATAATAATCGCTCAAGTGCTTTCTAAATCTTGAGCATTTAAGATCAAACAGAAGACTTATTTTCCGCTTCTATTCTAGAGGCCTGACTGTGTCGAAAAGATTGAAGCACGGATTGCATATCAAACTCCCCTATTTATTAGTTTTCCCGTAACACAATAAATATGCATCCAACATTTTGGCTTTGAAATATGGTTTCAGTCAGTTTTGCTAATCACACAGAACCCACAATACATGTATCTGCATTCTGGCTATTATTACGAAATAGGGCGTTGGAAGACAGGTCTATGCCAGGTGTAAACAGGACACTGTTACAAACATTCTTGAAATTTACTCTGCAGGACTCCTTATTGAGTTACTGAGATTTTACGGATTTGATGCGGCACAGCACAAAACTTAATTATAGTAAGCACTACAATGGAAGTAGTTTAAAATGCTCATAAACGTAAACAAATTTAAATTAATGTGCGAATAACAAGTATTAATTTGTCATAGTAATTTGTCAAGTATTAATTTATCATAAAGCTCATATTTTTGGTCAAAGTGGAATATGGTGGCTGCTTACAAACTGTGCTTATACTCTTCAAAATAGTTCTGCGGTATTTACATTGTTCTTGCGAAACGAAACATGAAAAAATAAATGCGCATGTTCTGAATTTCTGCATTTTTACAGAGGAATTCATACGCCACTGACGTGTCCGTATGAATTAAGGAATTTTTTCTTGTTTCACTAGAACACTGACGGTGATCACTGCATCTGGAGGAAAACACAGCACTTAATTGATTTTTTATTCCCTAAATTATTTTCTTAGAATGGCGGTTTGGTCACATTCCAAATGAACAGGTTGATCCTTAACGCCCGTTGAGGCAAAATGATTTTTGATAGACTTAAAAAATGTATGATATTAATAAAGGCTGTAATAAAAATTCGATGGTTCATGAACGACAGTCTAGAACCTACCGCAACTAGATAATAAAGTCTATGTACTCGTTCAAAGGTAAATAGCTAGACTTAAACACGCTGCACAAAACATCAGAGCGGCAAATTCCCAAAACTGTTTATGTTTTAATTTTTCCGATTTTTTTAAATATGTTTTGCCTGTCACCCTTCTAACTCGCAGTAAAATTTGACAATAGAAAATACATATTTGCCCAAAAAAACTAAAAAAACAAGGTAAGGCCAATGAAGGTGTCAAATAGTTTTAACTAATTTCAGAAACGTTTTCTGTTTGCTGGGTTTTTTTCCCCTTGAAAACTCGTAACAAAGGCAGATGCTACATAACTGAGTCAGCCTAGACCAGCAAATTTTAATAATTTTGGTTTGAAAGCAAGTAAGGTTGCAGAAAGCTCGCTCTACAATAATGCCAATGCTGAACTAACCTGTCGCTGGCCTGCTCAAGGCCAAAAAGATTAAAAGAAGGAGAATGGCGATGAGAATGCCAACAATAGCCAGGAGTACACCCTCGCACCGTGTTGGCCTCCAACGCCGCCTTGGCCTGCGGACCCGAATGCCAGTTGACTCCCCCATGTCGCTGTCTACTGTGGTGAAGAGAACTGAGTCTTCGTTTAGTGAAAGCAGCGGCTTCGGTTCGCTTGCTGCACCATCTGTAAAAGGATGCTGCCGACTTTGTTTCGTCGGCGTTGGCTCTCCCTTCGCGCTCACCTCAGCCACACCCATTGCAACCTTGCCAACGTCCGCAGGGTCATCAGGCGCTGACGTCACCTGATTGGCTCGGGAGGAGTGATTGTGCATTGGGACGACTGCAGTTGTGGGTGTGGCGGAATACGAACCGTCGGACTGGTTGGCCGGTTCAACCAGAGACTGCTTTTCATCAGACTCTCCAATCCCACTTTTCATGCCGACTTCACGCAAGTAGATTGGATTCCCAGAGTCAGACGAATGCTGAGGTGCTTTCGGTTGATCATTACTGGGCTCGAGGGCAGTGTACATCTGTAGATTAAGCTGATGGCGACTGGGATGATCAGCTTATACTAACTGACTTATCGCTCATATATTTGAAACAGGTTGTCATAGCGACCAAACGGCCGGTTTTTCTGCTCAGTTAGAGCTGAAGGAAAACAGGGTTAGTGAAGGTAGGAGCAGGGGACAACAGCGATTGTTTTGCAATTCTTGGCAGGGCTTAGTCTGGAAGACTCGTGAAGGACTGTGTGAAGTGAGATGTTATTATATAAAAGAAGGCGAGCAAAGCAGAGGAGGACGTTCGGGAGACTTGCTTACGCAATCGAACTGCCGAGGCTGATTGGAAGATTGATAGCCACTGACGAGGATAAGTTGGAAGCGAGCAATATTATTGGTTGGGTTAGACTTCCTAAATTTTCTGATTGGTTGCATAAGTTTCCAGCAAAGAAGCGAAAAGTTTGTGACGCACGCGAATGCGCCTGCGTCGGCCGTCGAGATACCTGCAGCCATTAAATGCGTCCGTAGTCGAAAGGAACTTTTTCTATTAAACTTGCTGCTGTTTTGAATATAGCAGCGTCATCGACTTCGAGCTTACAGGCTCCACTCCAAAATTACCTTTCCGACGGTCCATTTCACGTAAAATCAAAAGGGTTGTCGTGTAGAGTTACGGGCACCACATTCAAAAGGATTTGATTAAGCGCTGACACGTGTTTCCTGAGAAATCCTGCTGAGTTCCTACATGTCCCTGGTGCTCTGTGTACACGGCGCGTCTGTGGTCAGCCTGTAGTTCCAGTCACTTCCGTGTGTGCATCCATGGTACACTTCCATGGCGGTCCTAGATTCTGTTATTTCTTCATTTCATGTAGGCTGTGTCCCCAACTAGTGGCTTTGGTTGTAAATGGTGATAGACAAACGATCTACAACAGTTCTTCGAACGACCAGCAACAAGCGCGCAAGACGCGTCTTCTTGGCTTCCGAATTGTCATGACTGTGAAACGCCGGCTACTAGCCACTGACACCTCAGGAGCACTCATGTTAGACAAATATTATCATGAGTAGCGAACATTCAGGCATCGTTCGTTGTCACCCTAGGACGAAGTCCAAATCTGAAACGATCACGTGCAGGCTGTCAAAGTCCACCTTTGAGACAGTAGCGTGCGCGTTGTCTTTTTCCGCTGTTGGAGCTGAACAAAGATCAGACTTGCGTACGTCAAATTATGAAAGCTGATTGGCCCATTTTGAATGGCACACTTGAAAAGAAAAAGCACCGCTAGTCCTGCCGATAAAGTAATTATATCTAACCTATAGGATCTAAGTCGTGGCTGTGCTTAGAGCACTACAATCATCAGGTTGAATCCCAGAAGGTAGGCAGAAGTCAACAGAATGAGGGCCTTATTGTACACAGAACCCTGAATTACTGTCTCAGGCAGCAGTGGCCACTGGCAAAGCCAGGGCAGGTGTTAACTGCGTTCAGTCGTGTGCAATAATGCAACTGTGTGCGAGAAATGGTAGTCACTTTTATCTGGTTGTGAAGCAAGTTCAAGTGGTATGTCATTACTGTGTTGCATTGCATTGTGTTGCAACGGAGCATGGGTAATGCCTTTCAGTCGATGACTGAATGGTTACCCCTCTCAGAGGGGTGTTGGCCCAGGCTTCGTGCAGGGCTGCTCTCACCCTTCTTAGACCGAATGTCGGTATGCGTATGCAATGTCAGATCTCGGCCAACCACGGTCCCTGCGGCCTGGTAGGCGCTGGCACTTTCTCTCGG